GCCTGTTATTCAACAAACTCAAATTATTTCCAGTGGGATTATTTTTATATTTGAAAGACATGACAACATTTTTTTTTATTTGTCTAATGCAGGCATTGCACACAAACAGAGATGTTTGTGGTAACTCTGTAAGCTAAAAGAGATATTCGAAATATGCTAGAGATAGATAAGATTAATTGGAGAACATAAACTGATCTGTCATGATTTTGGTAAATTGTTTTTAAGTAAACACAAAGAGGATAAAATCGTACATATGTAATATTTCATTTGTATGTGTCTCCTGCTCTAAATAAATATAAGCAAACTTAAATTTTTTAATTCTATGCAGAGGATTTTGAATTAAATGAGCTAGTTAAACCATTTCATCTTCTTATAAAAATGAAGACAAATAAATATGAGACTCTTATCCTCATGGTCAGTGGTTGATTGGTGATCTCAATTAAATATTTTCTTTAAACAGGACTATCAGGACTAGATCAGTTCAAACTGAAGCTAATCTTACATTTCTCGAAATTTGGCACTGTTAATAGAATTTTAGTACAGATAAATGAGCATAAAAATATGTTCAAATTTATTATTGTCCAAAACCTATGTGGATACTGTTTACCTGTAATTGAACTAAATATGAGATGATATCTCTGGAAATTTTGTGACACGAAGATTAGGTATTTTCTTTTAAAAAAATAAATGAGTTCTTTATTATTTTATGATGTGCTCAGATAGAAAAAAAATGAATTCATTTTTTTCTACAGTATTTTTTTCAAGCCGAATAAGGCTATAAGTTCATATATAAGAATATTATGTTTGATTAATAAAAATAGTCATTTATATGCATTATTCATTTTAGCTTTTGTTACCCCCTCAAAGTGGATGAAGTTGAGGTAAGTTATTTTGCTTTGATATACTCTAAACTTAATCACCATCTCTAAAGCCCTTAGGTAGGACTGGTGGAAAATCCAATGATTTAAACAGCATAAAAATCTTTAGTGCCATTCTCCCCTAAACTGTACACTTAATAAATGAATCTGTAGCTTGCTTTGCCATATTCCATATGACTTCTGTGCACATCCAGAGGACTTTGCTTACTCTGCAACAACTTCTGAGTATTATGGGATTCTACGGTGTACAACTGGGTCCTAAAACGGTATTCTCTTCAGTTTATATCACTAGTCCCAGATGGGTTGACTTGCTTCAATTTTACAACTATCCTCTTAGGAGAGAATATTAAAGTGAAAGAATTCTTCAATAGAACCAGAGAGCAATGAAGTTCACAAATAGAACCACACCAGTTTAGTTGTCAATTATATTTCCTCATGAATGAGTTTTTCATTTGCAGCCAAATTTAAAATTAAAAAGATCTTCGCCCATATGACCTTCAGGAGAAGCCAAGAGTTCATTTCTTTAAGAAAAAGCAACATAATAGCGGTTATATTTATGTACTAAATAAGGTCTCTAGTTAAGATCGCAACCTGAGATAGATTTTTAGTGGACTTTGTCGGCTCTTATTTATTTATTTTCAAAAATTTCATTGTATTTTTCTTCTTGAAATAGCCTTTGAAGTCTGGAGCTGAACATCTTCTATGCAGAATTGCTGCAATATCATCCTTGCAGTGTTGCTGGTGTTCCTGTTTCTGATTAAAATTCATGTTTTCTTTAAATAGCATGAAATATACTTCTCTGGACCTCTTTGGCCTTGGTCAGGAATGTATAACCACTGAAAAATTTTCAGACAAGAGACCGGTCATTAGGCACAGCTTGAAAAGCCAATCAAACTCAGTCTGTTTTTGTTCCTAGGGAGAGCCTAGTGATCGCCGTTGCGGGGAAGGCAACTTAGATGTGATTCTGGAGCACTTGCCTAGCTCTCATTATATCCAAACAGCAAAAATAATTAGTAGACAGAGCTTACGGATTTAATTCATGGACTCTTCTGAGCAGGAAACATATTGTCAAGTAAATACTGAAGAGGGTAGCATAGTGATAAAGGTTAACAGCCTGGAATTCTCATATGATCAACACAATATGTTATTTAGATTTCTAGAATTTTCCCTAATACTAAATAGTGGATTTCTTTTTTAAAATCTTTTTTTGCCTTCTACTTTTTTGTCTTTCAGAGCATCCCATAATAAAGTGAACTGTATTTCTTACATTTTAATTACCATCCTTTCACATTTTGTCATAAACTTGCATTTTTTTTTTATTGGAAGGAAATGCCACAATTAAGCCTTTGGGAAAAGAGATATTAAAAATTTACCAAGCTCTGAATCAGATGGCATTGATTGGTGTTTCTTGATGCATATTAATTAAATTTGCACTATACTTACACATATGCTTATGACATTATAAAAGACATTGTCACCATTGTAGCTTATAAACTTCATAGTTTAATTCTTTAAAAGAATATAAATGTTTGGAGGCTAGCCCAGTGGCACAGTGGTTAAGTTTGCATGCTCTGCTTTGGTGGCCTGGGGTTCGTGGGTTCGGATCCAGGGAGCAGACCTACATACCACTCATCAAGCCATGCTGTGACGGTGTTCCACGTACAAAAGTAGAGGAAGATTGGCACAGATGTTAGCTCAGGGCCAATCTTCCTCACTGAAAAAAAAAGAAAGAAAGAATATTAATGTTTGTATAACCAGACAAAAGTAAACATTAAAGTGCTACTAAATTGTCTCTGTATAATTTGTACAAATTGCTGTTTATAATAAGTTGGTCATCTTTGCATAATGTTTGAGACATTTAATTCAACAAATATTTCTTGAACACTTTGTGAAAGGAATGTAAAGATAAAAATAATTCTCACAAAATATAATGAATACCATAAACTCTATACATACAGTGTACTATTAAGATTTAGAAGATGGAGAAATCATATCCAATTAGGGGAATAGAGAAATTTCATGGTGGAAGTTTCATTTTAGATGAATTTTGAAGAATGCATTGGCAGTTGACATGTAGAAATAGAGAGGGATGTTTCACACAGAGGAAAAAACTTGGAGGGGTGGAACCCTGAAGAATGGTCAGTAACATCATGTGTAAAGTTTTGCAGGAATAGATTATTGAAAATACACTGGGACAACTTTGTACTAGATTTCGAATGCCAGAGTTAGAAGCGTATAATGATTGGGAAGGATATGGGAAGCCATTGAAAATGTTTGTTTTGTTTATAAAAATGGATAAAAGTTTTCAAAGTATACTTTGGGACAATTAATGTACAAGTAACGGGTAAAGTCAATTGACAAAGAGAGACTCCAGTGAAGGGGCCAGTAGGCAAGCTAAGGCAATAGTCCAGTCAAGAGGTAAAGAACACATGAAACAGAGTGGTTGCAGTGGGAATGGAAAGAAGGGGATACATTTGAGAAATTCTAAGGTAGTAGAAACTATAGGATCTGATAACTAATTGGCTATAGATGGTAAAAGAGAGAAATAAAATGATTCTGAGGTTTTAGATTAGGGTTACTAGGAAAATGATCGATCTGTGAACCAAAAAAAATAGAAAGAAAACTATAGAGGGGAGGCTTTGAAGAGGAATACTGAAGGAGTAATTTCTGTTTTCAACAAATAATGTGCTTACATTTATAATGTAGATCTACTAGCAAAACTATTTCAAACAACTAACCATCCCTAAGACAAGACACTTAAGGAAGAGAACAAAAAGTCACAGTTAAATATTTTTGTGGTTGAATAATCTATTGAAAATTTGGTAGCTTCTACTGACAATTCTGGCTAAGAAAATGAATTGGATTGGGGAGTAAAAGTTCTCAACTACAGCTCAGCATTGACTTCCAGGAAGTGCACATCATGCTCTGACAGAGTTGATTTTAATGGGATGCCTAGATAGATTTATATTTTAACAGTATGTAATGAAATTGCTTAAGCCTTCATTACTGAACAGAACTGTGATTCATGTTGGCAAGTCACTAAGAGTTAGATGGCAGAGAAATAGCAACCAGAACAATGACTATTTAATGTTTCAGTATATAGTATGAAGACATACTAATAATAACGATGATAGCTACTTTTAAAGCCAAGTGGCAGGGGCCGGCCCGGTGGCGCAGTGGTTAAGTTCGCATGTTCTGCTTCTCAGCGGCCTGGTGTTCGCCCGTTCGGATCCTGGGTGCGGACATGGCACCGCTTGGCACACCATGCTGTGGTAGGTGTCCCACGTATAAAGTAGAGGAAGATGGGCACAATGTTAGCTCAGGGCTGGTCTTCCTCAGCAAAAAGAGGAGGACTGGCAGTAGTTAGCTCAGGGCTAATCTTCCTCAAAAAAAAAAAAAAAAAAACCCAAGTGGCCAATAGGACAGCCTCTGGAGTCAGACTGCTGGGTTTAAATTTCTAGCTCTGTCATTTATTATGTGTGACCTTGGGCAATTTTCAATTAACTTCCCTGAACCTCAGTTTCTTTATCTGTACAATGAGATAATAGTTGTGACTACCTCATATGGGATATTGTTACAATTAAATGAGACAATACATGTAAAGCACAAGCATCAGTAATGCTCTGGAAATATTTGACTCTGGATGTGAATGTAGGTTATAGCGCTATGCATGTGCTTCTCTGTGCAGATCTTATGTCTCGAGAATGAATGAATCAATTTCCTTAAGTTTTATAGTATACAGAAAAACTCAGTTAACATGGTCTTCCTGTGACACTGCATGCTCTGACTTGTGCTGAAGTGATTGTTTGCTCCACATAAATGGATAATAGCCAGTAACATTTACTGAACACTCACTATGTGCCAGGAGCTGTTTTAAGAACTTCACGTGAATTAACTCATTGTCACAGCAACCTTATGAGGTAAGGTCCATATATCAGATGAATAAACAGAAGCAAAAAGAAGTTACATAATTTTTCTAATATTACACAGTAAGAAATAGAACCAGAATTTGAACCCTAGCAGCATATCTGACTCTAGAACTGATACTCTTAATCACCATGCCCCGTTGTCTCTCATTAAGAGTTTACTGCGCTCCTGGGCTCAAACCTAGTTTGTGGGGACATGGCCAAACGCACCAAGAAGGTCAAAATCGTCAGTAAACATGGGACACTTTATGGTGCCTCCTTCAGGAAAATGGTGAAGAAGATTGAAATCAGCCAGCACGCCAAGCAAACTTGCTCCTTCTGTGGGAGAACCAAGATGAAGAGGCGAGCTGTGGGGATCTGGCACTGTGGTTCCTGCATAAAAACAGTAGCCGGGCGTGTCTGGACCTACAACACCAGTTCTGCCATCACACTGAAGTCTGCCATCCGAAGACTGAAGGAATTGAAAGACCAGTAGAAGCTCCATCATGTGAAACATTGCTAGGCCTATAATAAATGGGTTAATTTATGTAACAAGATTGCTTTGGTTTGTTGTTAATTTTATTAATTAGATGTTCTGATTTGCATTGCATTAATTTTGCTTTCTCAAAAAAGACTTGGAAATGGTTCTAATTTTTATTGGAAAAGCGTGCTGAGATAGATGGGTTATCATAGTTCAGTATTTTTTTTTCAGTCTTCAAATGATATATAAGAATATTAGCTTTACAGGTTAGGTATGTGTCTTAGCTTTTTTATCAGCCTGTTTCTGCCAGTTTGACTTTGAGATGCATTGGTTCAAATTGTGCAAAATTTTGTTCTTAAACCACAGTTAGTATTTTTAAAAAATGTTTACAAAGGGTAGGATGATGTATACTGCCTCTTAACTTTTGGCGTCTTGTCTGACCACACATTGTATCAGCATCTTCAGAGAAAATATGAAACAATTCGAATTTCAGAACAGATGTTTTAAATATCTACACCATTCTCCATTTTTCAATTTGCACACAAGGATTCATAGGATTGAATTATTCAGGTTGATACAAATGGTCACACTAATAAAAAATGAAGTTACTTGGAGGAATTTTTAAAAAAGCGTTTATTGAACCCATTAAAATATTATACAATATTACAGAACATGTTTAACCAATTCAAAAGAAGAAATGGTTTAAAATACTTTGCCTATTACTAAAAAATAGCCTGAAAGCAGATGCCTTTTTATCACGTATAAGTTTTATCTATTCATTACAGTAAGACCTGTATTTGTAAACACTATAAAGAGCTAACTTAAATTGTTATATGAACTTGAAATACAAAGCAAATTTATGTATACAATGACTGCTTCTCTGAAACTTTGGTTTACTAAACTACCCTGCTTTGTAGCCTTATAATTCAAACCCTGTCTAACATCTCATTTAAATACGAAAAGTATTTACTTTGAAGAAGACCTAAAGAGATCTCGTTTCGTTAAATCCCCTTATATAAAGAGGTGCTTCGCTTTTTAGGTAAATTCATGAGATGATGCTTCCTCCAAGCATTCTACATTATCCTGCATACACTTTAAATTCAATCTCAAACAATTCCATTTTCTGAGGGCACATTGTAATAATCACATTTCTTTAGAAATCCAAAATGGTCCAACCCAGCAATTACTCAGATTCAGAAAGGTTTTATTGTAATGCTAAATCCGTTCCTTCTCTACATCAACAATGCTCAAAATTGTAATGAAGAAAGTGAAGAAAGAGCTCACTTTTGGCTTTGCCAGGAAAAGACATTTCCTTTGGTTTATATGTTAGGTCTTATAGTATCTTGGCCATGAGTTTACTTGGAACTACGGAGGTGTTATTAAACCTAATTTTTTCAAGTGTGTCCCGGCATAAAAATGTAGGCTACATATACCACTGTATTTGCATTGCCTTTCCCTCAGTCCTCTTTTTAGCCATGTCTGGGCTTATAACATCAAGAGACAAAATAACACAACCAAGGACTTTTGGAGACTGTATTTTAGACTTTGGTATCTCTCATTGTCGCTTATATATTCCCTTTCTTAATATAGCAGGCAGGTTAATTAAATGTACCTTGGTGTTAACTATGTTTAAAAAAAAAAAGTGCAGTTATAGCTGCCTGAATCTAGAAGAGCTAGTTGTTATCCATCAAATTGAACACTAGATGGCAGTCCTCACTAATAATATAAATAAAGGCTACAGGACTGATTCGAATGAACACCCTAGGCAGCCTAAGTATCTTGCCAATTTTAACAGCTGAAAGTCAGCAAAGAACTTCGAACAAAAATGGTGACAGAATCAGAATGTTAAAAATAGTGAGCTTGCTTGCTATCACCACGCAACTGAAACTTATGTTTCAGTTGATTTGACAATATTGTGCACCGAAACCAGTTTCAGAAGTTTCAGTCCAATTTCTAAGCACTCAGTGTTAGCCCACAAATTAGATTCACCTTCTTTATTGTCTTCTGAAACCCAGTCTTGGTTGAAGATATAGCTACTACGATTATAGTCTGAGGTGAATTTGCCTCAGCAAGAACTTTTAAATTTGCTTGATTTCATCCCCTAAAAGTAACCCTGATGGTTTCTTTCCTGCTTTCCTAATCTCATCTTCCAACTTTTATAACCAAGCTTCCTCAAACGGAAAAGGAGACATCAGTATATTTGATTTTTATGTCTGAAAGGAATGCTTACGTTAGACTGTCTCAGATATCCCTATGCTAGTTCACTGTATAGTGCTGGGGCATGGAGTAAAATTGATCTGAATTTGAGTCCCAGCTCTGCCACTATCAAGCTGGGTGAACATGGGCAAGTTATTTAATCTCTCTGGGCCTCAATTTTCTAAACTGTGAAATGATGAATCTGCGAAATGATGCCCTTTCATGGATTTGATATAGGTTTTCAATGAAATTATGCATGCATAGAGTTTCAGATGATATTGGACACATAGTATGCACTCAATGAATATTAGCTATTATTATTCCCATTATCACCTTCACTAGTATCACGTATTCCTCTTTCCTGAATATTTTGCTAAATGATCTTTTAGATAAATAGCTAACAAGGGGTATTTATTACTGTTTTAAATTCTTAATTAACCTATATTAGATGGAATGGTAGTCTATTAAATTTAGAGGCAATAACTAGGAAAACAAGACATTGATAATAAGGATGAAATCATATATATTTCTTTCTCCCTCCATATATTGTTAACTGAATGCCCTGAGTCTGCCTATCTGTTGTAGAATGGTGAAATGCTGTCATATTTCTGAAGAGCACATTCTTCCCTTAAATGAGGTTGGTTTCAGCAACTTTTGCTAAAGTTCTTGTTATCTGGGGAGGCAGTGAGATGAAATGGATTTTCTGTATTGCTTACCAGTGGGGCCTTCTGGCTTACAGAGGAGAAGTATTGTAATTTCTCACTTATGGATCCACTTAATATCTAATTTGACTTATGTAGAAACAAACAAAAAATGTCTTAAGGCTTCCATGAACCATGCTACTCAATGTTAGTAATAGCATCCATAATATTTTTTCTGCTTGGAGATTGTTGATGAAAATAATCCATAATCAATCTATAAATGAAAATTTGGGTGAGTTTATTCTGAGCTGAAATCTGAGGACCATGGCCCGGGGCCTTTCTTCCCAAAGGAAGAAAGGGCACTGAAGAAGTGGGGTGCACAGAATGGTTATATACCCCCAAACAAGGTGTTTCACATATGATTGAAATGTCCCTCCCACAATAGTCACAAGATTGCCCTGTCGGCACAGCACTTGATGGACACAGCAGGTAGTGGGTCTGCTATCTTGGTGGGCGTAGCAGGAGGCAAGTCTATTGTCTCGAGCTGGGCAGTCACAGGTGAGCATAGCAATCAGTTTCTACCCTAAGGAAAGATGCTTAATCCTTAAGGAGACGCCAACGTTGGGAGGGGGAGGGAAGTTGCACCTTTATTTCAAGGGCCTTTGTTCTTGCCATAGGGAATATCTAAAGCAGATATGCAATGCATGCTCAACGGCCTCCATCAGGCCCTTTTGGAAAGACAAGGTCAGGCTGAATTAGGTTTATACCAAATGGCTTCCTCATGTTCTCCAATATATCCTATTGCTTGCCATTTTTATTTGTCAAGATGAGATTAAGGTTACCAGATTTGTATAAAGGCATCAAAAATGCTCCTCTTCTCTGATTCAACATCCTCATTGCCTCCTAATGAGAGAAAATATTTGCTTCACATTATGAAATCTTTTGTGAAAATAAATGAATTTAAGTGATTGTTTTGTAATCCTGGGGAAAAAAAGAAACATCTTGCTATATATCTATATCTATGTCTATTTCTTTATATCTCCCTTCTGATCACATGGGTTAAGTAAGGACTCTAGAAACAATAAAGTAAACTTTTTTGGTCCTAAAATGCAACATAGGAAACTAATACTCCTGCCTCTAGGTTCTTGAGGAATTCATATATACACACTTAAATAATAAGTGTATTTCCTAAGGGCAAACACATGTTAGTTCAAGTGTACAAATGTATGTGATAATTATACGGCTAAGCTAGACAGAAAAGAAAAAGTCCTGGTTTAAATATTATTAAAGTTCTGGAAACATTACTTTTTATCCAGTTTAGGAAAGTGAGGGGTTAACCTAGAGTCCAGACCAAACCAAAACAAAACAAGAAACAGATGTTTGAAATCTGTAATTACTATGGCAAGCCAGTTTTCAATTCCTGCCTTGCATAAGGTGAAGATGACTTAGTACCCCTCTAGGAATAATTTACTTTTGAACAAGAACAGCTCTAAAAATTTAATAGATACTAAATTAAAATGTAAAAACAGCATGCAGAATTCCATGCAAGACCTAGTAAGGAAACTATTAGCAAATGCTTCCCTTTTCCTCAGCGAACCCCGCCCCCCAACCCAATCGCACACATGCAGTAAAGCAAATAAAGGACTGAAATATTTTGCCCTTGTAATCTATGCTAAATGTGCAAGTAGTTGTTTCCATGGCAAATGATTACTTTTTTCAACCTTGTTGACTTTGGGGGAATGGTTTCAAATTCTCATTTCTGTTAAACAGAAATGGGTTGCCACACTTATTTTTTCAGGGTAGTCCTAGTTTACAACCATTGTCTTAGAAACATTTTAATAGCTCTGACTTTCACTTTCAAAGTGCCTTGGTTTGTGCAGTAAATTATACAGTCATAGCAGGTAGAATGTTAGAAATGGGCATCACCCAGAGCAAAGTTTCTCAGCAGTGTTAACTCTTTCAGGAGAAAAAATAGGCATATCATTTATTTTCCTATCCTACAGCCTTGAGAAGTGGATGTTGGTGGGCGGCATCCTGAAGAAGGGGCTACATGGATCTCACTAAATTAAGATGTCTGTGTAGGAAAAAGGTTTAGTGTGCTGAATCCTTAAGTAAAAGTGGAGAGAACAAAAGGGACCTTTCATTTACCATCTCAGAGGCTGTCAGACAGTTCCTCAA